AAATAAAAATCTGTCCTCATTCAAGTTTCTGTCTTTAGATATTTAGAAAAATGCCTATTACCATTGACGTATGTGTACTATTTGTTTGTAAATCAATGGTTACAGGTTTTCAGCCTTCTTTTAAATAACATCCTTAATGTTCAACTGATGGAAGAAACTCACAAATGTTTGGAACCACTTGAGGATGAAATATTGAGTACATTTAAATTTTTGGGTGAACTATCCCTTCAATGTCAGTAATAAAAACTTTCATTAAAACAGCTTCTTGTATATCCCACAGAAAAAAAAAATCAAGTTTAAAATTACGTTGAATACATGATGACAGAATTGACATTTTTGAGCACACCCTTCCTTTAATGCCCTAGCAGAAACACTTGACCATGATAATACCATGTACTGTATATACTCAAATAACCTGGTATTTCCTTCACTCAAAGTATGATAATGCAGTAGTATTTTCCATCTTTGTTTGAGTGTCTTCATAAATCAATCAAGTTCTATAATAATTATTATGGAGGAGTCCTTTCAATTCAGGCCATCTGCGTTTCAAGTCATAGCTGTAAAGTAGTGGTAAATCAGGCAGATCTTCTAGTGTGGGCAGAAACCGCAATTCCATTGTCTTCACATGACATGAGAGACAATGAAAAGAGGAAGATGTCCGTAATCAGTAATTACCTTGATTATACCTTTCATATGTGCTGACTGATGATGAACAAATAATGCCTCCAAGCGACACACCATCGAAAAACAAAAACAAGCTGAATATCTTTCTTTTAATGCACTATAAAATCACTACAGTACTGCTTTATTTTTCATAGTATCCCACCATATTAGACATTTACTAATGAGTTTAACATATTTTGGTGTCACCAAAAAAAACCTGAACCAGTGCATCAAAGTTATTAATATTAGAACATATTAATATTGGTTGGAAAACTGCAATTATTTCTTCATGTCTGAATTAGCTGTCCAATCCTTATGTAGAAAATATAAAAATTAAACAACAAAATAAACTAATAAATTAAACATTTGAATTTTAAATATTATTATTATTATTATTATTATTATTATTATTATTATTATTATTATTATTATTATTAATAGCAACAACAACAACAACAAAAACAACAATAATAAAAAGTAAATAAATTATAATATGAGTATGATTTCTATTATTCATTCCTTCATTCATTCATTTTCTTGTCAGCTTAGTCCCTTTATTAATCCGGGGTTGCCACAGCGGAATGAACCAGCAACTCATCCAGCAAGTTTTTACGCAGCGTATGCCCTTCCAGCTGCAACCCATCTCTGGGAAACATCCACACACACACTCATACACTACGGACAGTTTAGCCTACCCAATTCACCTGTACCGTAATGTCATTAATAATAATAATAATAATAATAATAATAATATTAATAATAATAATAATAAATTTATTAAAATAATTAGATTAAAACAACAAAAATATTATTGATAATAATAATTTTAATAATAATAAATGTATGAATTAATTAAAGTGACAGTAAGGACATTTGTAATACCGCAAATCATACATATCATACAAATCTTTTAAAGTTCACTGATTCTCACTTTTATACCTAAAAGTACAACATTAAATGCCTGAGGTTTTATAACACTCTTTCAACAGAGATTAAAGTATACAGACAACTCTGCAAAGATGCTGTCACACTGCAAAGGCATGGTTACAATCTCTCACCTAACAGACACACACACACACACAAACACACACAAAAACACACACACACACACATACAAATATACAAAAATTGTCTCCCTCAGGATACTTTTAGCTTAGAATGCAGTAATGAAGCAAATGGACTCAAACACACACACACACGCACACACAGACAGACAGACAGACAGACAGACAGACAGACAGACAGACAGGCAGACACACACACAGACACCCACACACACACTTTCTCATGTTTTACGTCTGTATTTTTCCAGGAAGCATCATTATAATGTTGTTTGGATGGTAAACAAATCATGTCACAGAGTTTAAGTTTATATAATAATTTACACACTAATCTCTTTAATGTAAAAGTGTTGCCTAGAAAAATAATGCCAGTGTTGAGTCAGAGCTTGAGGAAAAAAAGGACATGTTTGTACATTAGGCTGCAGGAAAGAAATCGAACACACCGAGCAATGTTTTAAAAGTCAAGTTCAAACTAATGGCGGACGATTCTGCCACTTTGAAGGTGCCAGATTCTGCACTTTTATACTGTAGCATTTCGTATTATGTTCTTTCCCCCCTTACAGCCCACTTATAAATGTTACTCTCAAGGATGATCGTCTTAATTCGTTTTTATATAGACCATTTTCCTATTTACATTCACCACAGGCATTTACAACTAAATAAATAAACAGATTCAAGTTAAATCATGACAAAAAATAAATAAATGCAGTGATGTATGTTTACAATTGAACATGCATGCTTGTTATTTTAATACTCTGTAAAACCCAATAAGTTCAGCTAAGTTAATTTAAGCTGTTTGAGAAAAGACATTGCACAAATACATTTAAATTTTGAAACCAAAGTGTTTGAGAACTGTAAACGTATATATATTGAGTCACATACACACACAATTGAAACCAGAAGTTTACATACACTGTATAAAAAGGCACATAACCATTTAAAAAAAAGTCAGATGAACTACTTACACTTGCAGCGTCTCCACGATGGACGTCCAGCATTCTCTGGCCTCCAGTGCCTAGACTGCAGCTCTGTACAAGAAGTTTGGCCATAGACTGATTTCATGCGACCGCCATTTTTAAAAGCGAAATCGAGGCTGCAGTGGGAAGAAACCCGGAAGTATTGTTGGTAGTTACATAGGAATGTTGTGTACCTGGCTGTATATCTTATCAGCGAAGAGAAAGTGACACAAATGTATAATTTCACCGCCTTCTGAGTGACCCGAAGGTCCATTCTGAGTGAATGGGGAAAATAAAAAGGCATATCAGAGCTCATTTTCAGCTAAGTTAAGGGAAAGGGCACTAGTTAGCTAACGTAACGTTTTCTTTTCCCAACACACGTTTTAGTACCATTTTTCAAACTCAAGTTAATAAACTGATTCTATCACTATATTAGACTTGTCACGATACTGAATTAAAAGAAAAAACGTCAATTTCCCGCTAACATTTAAGGCACTGCTGATGGCTTTCTTAAAACACAAAGACTAATTTGTCATTGTGTTCACGTGCTCTAAAGAAATGACTGTGATTGGCCGAGAAGGTCATCAGTTTACCCCCTGGAGTACAAACACAGATGAGCGATCTGCTTGATGACTTGACTAATCTTGACGGCTGCTTCGCACTCCAGTGTCAGTGTATCTGTGTTTGCACTGGGTGAAGATCGGTAAACTGAGCACTGGTGAATACTATGGTAAATCAGCGCTGTTTATGAACGCGCTCAGTGGCGGTTGAATGTAAGCGAGAAATTAATGTTTTTAAAACTTCAGTACCGGGACAACAATATTACAGACAGCAAGAGGGTGTGCTAAAGACAACTGCAGTGTTTTATTGCTCACCGGGTTACATAGGCTGAAGCAGGGAAGTGTCCCCACGGTGTTTAACTAGTGCCATGAACTGAAGCCTATGAGGACACTTGAGCATATTACTCTGAAAGAGATTGTGATGTTGTTTGATGCCTAATATGCTTTTAGTTGTTTTAATTAAATGAAACTAAATGATATTAAAGTGATGTTTACACCATTTCTGCATTTTAAAAATCTCGGCAACAGCTGGAGGTTTGTAGTCCACTGCATGTTACTGCAATGTTTACAGTGCTGGTCCTATACTTCCGGGTTTCTTCCCACCGCAGCCTCGCTTTGATTCTTTAAAATGGCGGCTGCGTGAAATAAGCATATAGAAGATATGGTTCTTCCTAACTGAGCCTGGTTCCTCTTAAGGTTTTTTTCCTTCACTTTAATCTGCTGGTGAAGTTCCCAAACCAGTCCTCGCCACTGGCTTGCTTGGTTTGAGACTTGTGTAGCTGCACATCGACATTATGGGCGTGCTTTTTTTCCCAAAGCGATCTGATTGGTAGAAGTTTTTTCTTTACTCAAAAATAATTTTAATGTATTTTGTTGTACTTGTTGTGTACTTAGGTGGCCCACATATCAATTTTTAACCTCTGAGCCAAATACTACATTTGACATCTGGCCCAAATCTTGAGTGAAACCTTAAAAACAGTGGCACCTCTGCCAAACCTGTGCCACCTATGTTTGGCCGACATGCTGTTTGCCAGTGCCGGACGAATGCCTTCTGTGCCAGCTTTAGGCCAAATCTGCGCCAGATTTCTTTGCTATCTGGGTATGCACAGGACAGGCAGGTTACAACTGTCACAATGTGCTTGTTCAGCACTTCAGATGGATTTCTGTGTGTGTGTGTGTGTGTGTGTGTGTGTAGTACAGCTATATCCCAGTCACTTCTTCTGCATGAAATAGACCTGTCCTCTATGCCTGCTAATGACACGCGGTATGAAGAAGTGATTGGATGTCAACATGATTGATGTGGGTGTGGAAAGGGAGGGTCCAGCGCTCTCGTGGGCCATTATCTCTTCAAATTATATCAAGACTGTCTCGCAATGTGTTCCTTTTGGTGCTACTCAATTGCTGTGATGACCGAGGGCATTGAGTCTTTGCAGGAATCTAAAAGCAGAGGACAATTCTCTGTCAAGCTGTTATGGTACAACGGAATTAGCTTCCAGAAGTAAACAGATGTGCTCCAACGTTCGACACATTCAAATCAATATTAAAAGCACATCTGTTTAGCTATGCATTCTTCTTGTTTATGTAAAGCACTTTGAATTATCACTATGTATGGAATGCATTATATAAATAAACTTTCCCTGCCAAGCTATAAAAAGATGAATCATTTCTAAGATTTAAGCTCACTTTTATTTCCATTTCAGAAAATGGACACATTTAATTCTGTGCATTTAACTTCAACTGTTTTATATGTTTTTCTGCAGTCTATCCGGGAGGTGACGGGTTACGTGTTGGTGGCTCTAAACCAGTTTGACTATCTTCCTCTTGAGAACCTGCGAATAATCCGAGGCACTAAACTCTACGAAGGACGCTACTCTCTGGCCATCTTTCTCAACTACAGACGAGACGGCTACTTCGGCCTGAGACAGCTCGGCCTCAGGAACCTGACAGGTATAGTTGTCGGTTTATATCAGTATTTACTTCTAGCAAATTCCTTTCATACCAGCCATATCCCCCTGTAGCCCAAGACCGGTTACTCACTGAAGCTAAGCAGGCCTGAGCCTGGATGGGAGACTGCATGGGAAACCTAGGTTGGTGTTGGAAGTTCTGTTATTGAGGACAGCAGGGAATGTTCATCCTGCGGTCTGTGTAAGTCCTAATGCCTCAGTAAAGAGAAGGGGGACACTATACTGTCAGTGAGCGTCGTCCCATGGCACTTCTCACAAAGAGTAAGGGTGTAATCCTGATGTCCTGGTTAAATTTCCAGCATCTGCCCTTACCATCATGGCTTCCCATTTATTCACATCCACCGAACTGGCTCTATCACTGTCTGTCTACTCCACCTATAACTGGTGTGTGATGAGCACTGGCGCTGTTGTCCTGTGGTTGCCGTCTCATTATCCTAGTGGATGTTGTACAATGGTG